CTAAATTCGGGACGGCTAGCGCAGATAGCCCTCGTGTAGCTTTGCGCGAAATTCAAAACAAACCAGCCACCAAACAACTGCAGTGCATTATACAAAGATGCTAATTTGCCAAAACATAATTCATCATTATTATTATTTAATTATGCGTATGAGTCTGAGAATAGGTCTAGTTGCATGAGTCTCATGCTCAGTTGGTAGCACCGAAAGAAAGAAATTTGTCGATTTTACTGTTTTCGAATTTTGTGTTGGCATTTCAACTGGTAAAGCATTATGTTGGAATAATCAACCAAATAGTTTCAAACGCTTAATACTACGTGAATTAAGATGGTTCTTTATACCTTGGTAGGTATAACATTATAACTTATAGGTTTTGGTTCACAACTGAAATCCGAACCTAAGGCGTACAGCATTTTCTGGACCAATGATGTTATAGTTTTTGAATGCGAGGCATGGAACCTTTCGTGGGAATTAGAAGAAATAATTAAGAAACGATAGTAATTATTATTATTGTCCTTGTTAAGTACCAGTAATGTTTCTTCGTTATTAAGGTACGCAATGAGCTATCTGTGCTGTGCTTACCACTGGTATCAAAACCCACTTTTTAGCGTTATAAACTTTCAGACTTACTGCTGAGCCACTGAGGTCTGGGGAGCCACCTGTAGTGAGTAAATAATTTGGAAATTAGTTTTTCCCGAAAAGGCTGGGGTAAGGCATGATATAATTTAACAAATTGATTATTGTGCTAGTCATATTAAGATTTCAGTTATGTACCAAGATTTCCATTTCAATTAATTCAGTAATTGCATATGTGCATTACTTTACACTTCACTTGTTTTGTTTCAGTTTCTTTATAACCTTAATGTGCTGCTGTTAGGGTTTTTTGTATTGCTTCCTTTTTAGTCAGTGGGATGTTATTGACTAAATTCTATTCTGTGGGTTTGATTTTGAAATTAATTTAATAAAAAAATTACCTATAAATGAGAGTCTAGCTTACATTGTGTACAGCAATGTATATATCACTCTTCTCTGGGCTGTGAAAGAACCTGAATGTACATAGAAACCTTTAATGTAAGATTAAGTTAAAATATATCAATTATCTAAAATGTGAAATCACTGGAAAATCAATCTTGACTTAGTTTAGTTTTACTACTCTAAACTTGGCTCTTTGCCAAACATCAGCTGTTAAATCTTTGTTCTGTCTGTTTTTTGGTTGTATTTTATTTGTCAGGTATTGTTACGACAGTGGATTTAGAAGCGGAAAAAAGCTTCTGAACACCCCTGGTTGTCCTCAAGCACGTTAAGGTTGAAACGACATAACCAAAATTACCACCCACAGTATAAGTAAGTACGACAGCGGAAGTCACGTGACGCTGGTAGCACGTGATGAGATTCTCGATGGATCGTGAATTGTCCTAGCAACTTTAGTCTGTTTCAGGCGCCCTCTTTTTTGGTATATAAGCCAGGCAAATAAAGCGAGATGAGAATTGCAGATGGATAGATATAGAGACAGATATTCGAGTCAAGCGAGCGGTAGTGACGGTAATATAAAGTGTATGTTTTGTTAGAATATTTAACTGACCTCTATGAGAAGAGCATAGTCCATTTGTGATCAT